AACTGGGACTGGGCGGACTGTGGAGGCTGCGGCTGGGGTCGGGGCCGCTGTGCGCATTGCCGAGAACGGGCTTCAGAGCGGAGTGGCGAAGGATGTGGGGCAGAGGGTTGGCAATCATACACACGGGCGCAAAAGAAGATTTACGGACAAGGCGCAAGTCATGCAGGAGGTTGTGGGCGAAGTCAAGGATGCGATAAGGAAGGAGGCCGAGGAAGCGAACACGAAGGAGGACAATACGCATGTCAAGGAAGAGACAGGGGCGATCAAGAAGGAGGTCGAGCCTAACCTCAGGGCTCCTCACGCACACGGTTACGAGAGCGTGGGCCGCATGACGCACGCGTTCCAGCGTGCGAGGAGACGCTCCAGGAATGCAGCTTCAAAAAGAGGCTTCGAGAGCCCTTCCAGAGACTTCGAGAGAGCTGCGGAGAGGCTTCCGGCTCAGTGTGAACGAGCGGCTGCAACAGTCAAGGTGGAGGGGGTGGCCTGCAGCAAAACGGCCTACTGGCAAGCCAGAGAGGAGCCCAGGATGTCCAAGCGATTCCGAAGACAGCCGGGCGGTGGTGCGCCGCAGGAGACCCACGAGGAGGTCGGGCACGGGCGCCGAGGGGGTGCCGAGAGCGCGGCCGGAGGCGGCGCGGAGCGGGAGCGAGCCCCGGAGGATCGGAGGCGACGAAAGCGGCGACCAGCCCAAGGGGGAGCAATACGTGTATTATCCAGGCATCGCTCGGACGTGTGCATCTTTTTTTTCGGCGAGGACCATCCAGGACCATCCTGGACCATCGAGCAAAATGACACACGCACGAAACCGAAAACTGCACGGGAAATGGACGTCTTCAGCGAGGCTCCCCGGCGGGGTACGTGCAGCGCTCTCCCCATGTGCTCTTCGCCCCTGCCGCCGCCGCCGAGAGGAGACCAGGAGCAGGGTGCCGGCGGCGGCGGGGCGCTGCGCCGAGGGGGAGCACGGGGGGGCCGCGCGCCCCTGGGGGAGAGGCAGAGGGTGCGGGCCTCCTCGGGAGGCTCAGAGCAGACTTCCGTCGGGCCTGTACACGGGGGCATCCCCAAGAATGGTTGAAAAATAGTCAGGGGACGATGTGTTGACCATGTTTGGGCATTTTGGGGGGCATCTGTGCTTTTACTACGTTTTATCTTTCCTCCAAAATCCCCCATGTAGGGGGCAGGCCCGACCTAAAAATAGGCCCCTGGCCCTCTGAGGAGCTCTCCGAGCCCTCCTCCGAAGCCCCGCCGCCTTCTGAGGAGGCCTGGTCCCTCTCGCTTCCCTCGGCGCACCGCCGACAAGAAAAGCTTGAGAACAGGCCCCATGTAAGGCCACTCTTCCCCCAGTGCCCACTCTGCGCACATGTATCGGGTATAGCCAGGACCCCAGGTGAGGGGACCCGGTTAGTAGCAGGGCCCCGGAGCCCCTAGATTGGCCAGAATCACTAAACCGGGTCTGCCGTAGCTGGTGTTTTTCGGGTGACGGCAGTTCCGGTTAGTGGAACGGGGCCTGGGGCGGCGCCCCCCAGTACACATCTTTAAACCAGGTCCCACTAAACCCAGGTCTGCCAACGCCCGAATGTATCAAGCGGAACGAAGGCGCAGAAGGGTGGTAAGAACGAACAGTTCGCTTCGCAAACGTACCCGAGACATCACAGCGCCGTCGTACTTGTCAAAACAGTTTCGCAGTGCCGTTCCCCATGCCCGAAAAGACCGCTGTAGATGTGTTTCTCAAGGCCCCCAGGGTCGCATTACGTCACTCTCTCTCACACACACACCTTTCTCTCTCTCGCTCTCTCTCTCTCTCGCTCTCTCTCTCTCTCTCTCTCTCTCTCTCTCCCTCTCCCAGACGTCTCTGCCAAGCCTTGCAAACTGGCCGGCTCTCTCCCAGACTCTACCAAGCCTTGCAAATGGGCCGGCGGCGGTCCCACGAGGCCCCCAAGACGTTCCAAGAGGGCCCGAGACGGTCCAAGAGCGCTCCAAACACCAAAGATGGCCTCAAGACGGCCTACTACCAGGCCCCAGTCAGGCCCCCCAAGACAGCTCCAAGAGGACCCCCAAGAAGGCGCTGAGACGTAGAATGCAATCATTTCCCTTAGGATCGTTGCCAATTTGTCAGCGTTCTCGACTTTTCGGGCTTCTGGCACTCCAGGACGGCCTAAGGATGCTCAAGATTGTTACAAGAAGGCCCGCAAAGCCCCAAGGAGGGCCCCACGACGGCCCGAGGGAGTCCCAAAACGCCCAAGATGCCCCCCCCCCCCAGGACTGCCCCAGAGGGCTCGGCGACCCCCCCCCCAAGCATTCCAAATCGTGGCCGAGCGTTGCAAATGGGCCGGCGGCGGTCCCACGAGGCTCCCAAGAAGGCTGCGACACGGCCCAAGAGCGTTCCAGAACGTTCAAGATGGCCTCGCGACGGCTTAAGAGACATCGAAAACGCCTCAAGAAGGCTCCAAGACGAACCCCTGTTTTTAAACACACTAAGGCGGCCCAAGAGGAGGCCCACATAGCTCGAAGACAGCCCAGCAAGCCCCCAGAAGGGCCGCACGACGGCCCAAAAGGGCCCCAGGACGGCGCACAATGCCCCCAAGACGGCCCTAGAGCCCAGAAGCACCCCGCTGAAGCACTCGACTCTTGATTTTGTCGTTGAGGGATTACGCGGTTAACGGAAAAGTGGCCCCACGAAGCCCCCAAAGTTTCAAAGAAGCTCCCGGAATCTTCCACAACCATGTCCGTCGTCAGCAAATCGCTTGTCATAGCCGCGACCCCCAGATCGGCTTCAACACGCGTTCCCGCGCGCCTTCACATTGCGCATGTTGGGCTGAATCCCAGGTTCGCATCCGAATTCCCCAGAAGTCCATTGCGAACCCAGGGTTCCATCAATTCTCCGCCTACCGCCGAACATGTTTGGAGCAAGGTGCATGGCACGAAACGCCAATGCAGTCTTGTATTGGTATGCGTCTACTTGGATAGACACATCTTAGCCAGCGTGGACCCCAAGCAGTGTGTGTGCCCAGCAGTACATCTGGTGCAATATATGTAGTGCAATATATGCGGTGCAATCGATGTTGTGCAGCCTATGTGGAGCAACTTGGATGGTGCGATAAATGTGGCGACATCTGTGTGGTGGAATTAATATTGACCGTCTTGAAGCTGTCCTGTGCAATCAATCACTTGCTCAACGTGAAGCTGTCCTCTCCACTGCTCGTGCAAACATCCCACCCTTCAGCCCGCAACTTGGTCGCAAGACCTCTTAAGACCGTGACAGTTGGTACCAAATGGCACTTGGCAAGAACACCGAGGCCAACGACGGCAGCGACAACGACGACGATGACGCCGCCGACAACGACTACGACGACACCGACGGCGTCTCCAACGACTTCGACGACGACGACAACGACGAGGACGACGAAGACGACGACGACGCCGACACCGACGACGACGACGCCGACGCCGACGACGACGACGACGCCGACGACGACGACGACGAAGACGACGACGACGACGTCGCCAACGAAGACGACGACGAGGGAGGAGGGAGGACGACGACGGCGACAACGACGACAACGACGAGGGAGGAGGGAGGACGGCGACGACGCGAACGACGAAAAAGGAGGGAGGACGGCGACGCCGACGACGACAACGACAAGGGAGGAGAGAAGACGACGACGACGACGACGGCGACGACAACGGCGACGACGGCGACGAAATAGGAGGGACGACGACGAGGCGCCGACGACGAACGACGACGACGACGAGGGAGGCGGAAGGGCGACCACGGCGACAACGACGACAGAACCGACGACGACGCCAAAGAGGACGACGACGACGACGACGACGAGGAAAGACAGAGGACGACGACGGCGACGACGACGACGACCAGGGAGAAGGGACGGCGACGACGACGACGCAAGAGTGCGTGCGCACGTTTTTGTTGAAAATCCGTGTTGCGAAATCCTTTGGTTTGTATGTTTTTTGGGGCACTCGATTTTGAAATCCTTCCGCAACCGAAGGTTTTTGAAGGATTTCGGCATGCGCGCGCGACGACGCGCGCGCGTGCACTTCGTCTCGTTTTTTGTAGAGGACTCTCGCGACGGCACGCGCGCAAGGGCGTTCGAACGATTTCGACATGCGCGCGCGAAGCCCGTTTGGTAGTTTTTTTTTAATTCTCGAGAAACCTATGGTTTTATTTAGACTTCGCAAGTGCGCGCGAGTAAGCCTTTTTAGAACATCAGTGTTGCGAAACTAGGTGTGTTTGTATGTTTGTTGGGAATTCGATTTTGAAATCCTTCCGAAACCGAAGGTGTTTGAAGGATTTCGGCCTGCACGCGCGACGACGTGCGCGTGTGCACTTCGTCCCATTTTTGCAAGGGATAATTGGAAACTTATGGACTGTGGTAATCGAGTGTGTTCGCATAGTGTTTTCAGCAAAGGATGGCGGGGAGGGCCGATACAGGTTTGGCAGGGATAATATGCGTTCACAGGTCGGATGGACATTGGGTCAGAATCCTATGTGTTTTGCTTACGTTCCCGGGGGGTCTTTAACCCCGGGGGGAGGGTGGCAGATTTTTTTTTTGCAAGGAGAATAGATGTTGTGCAGTATACGGTGTGCAACCTATATGGTGCAATCGATGTGGTTTAGTCGACGTGATGAAAATTTGTGGCGCAATATGTGTTATGTGGTGCAGTCGAGATTGTTCCATCTATGGGCCGGCGACGGGGAGACGACAGCGACAACATAGCGGCCAGACCGCCGATCAAGCCCAGAGGACGGGTGGCGACGGGGCGGTGACGGCGACAACGTAGCCGCCAGACCAGCGGAGAGGCCGAGATGACGGGCGGCGACAAGGCGGGTCGGCGACGGCGACAACATAGCCGCCAGACCAGACCGGCGGTCAGTTCCAGTTCCTTCGAACAGAAGGAACAAGCCCTAAGTTCAAGCACTGCTTGGGGAATTTCAACGCACCAGGAAAGGTCCACGAAGCTCCCAAGAAAGCCCGAAGAGCCGAAAACTGTGAACTCCCTTTCTGTATTGCAAGGATTCTGGCGTTCTCTCATTTCCACGCTTCCACGCCCAAATATGGCACAAGAAACTTCCAAGACCGCCCCAAGAGTCGCCCAAAACAGCCCAACAAGGCCTCAAGACGGCCCAAGAAGGCCCCAAGATCGCCCCGCGAGGGGCCCCAAACGACCCAAGAGGGCATCCCTATTGCCCAAAAAGCGCGCCACAACGCTTTACCAACGGCCCATGACAGCCTTCAGACGGCTTCAGTAAGGCCCAGGAAGGGGAACACGAACTCACATGTCGAACCTTCCGCTTCATAATCGCCACGTGATCTTCCCAGAGGCTCCCGCGGCGCCCCAACGACGCCCCAAGAGGCCCCTCGAGGCTCCCAAAGAAGGCTCTAGAAGCCGACAATCGCACATTTCGAACCTTCCGCTTGGGACTTCTCGAAAATCTTCCCAGAGGTTCCCGCGGCGCCCCCAAGACGCCCCAAGAGGCCCATACGAGGCCCTCAGCGGGCTCCAGAGAAGACCGAATAGCCGACAGCCATGGAGTTATTTCCATGTGTTCATGTCTTTCAGATCTCTCGGCGCCCGGCTCTCCGAGTCTTCCAGCCGTGTCCGTTCCAGCCTCCGCGCGCTCATTTGCGACCCTCTCTGAGTTCCTGCCTGTCCTGCGCCTTCGCATTCCTCCTCCACCGTCATCTCTCCTCCCCGTGCCTTCACTCCGACGGCCTCCGTCAACTCCCACGCGGGAGGGAGCGGCATGGCAGGAGCGCGAGCGACCACGAGAGGCGGGAATGTACGTGCAGCCATGATTGGGTCGTTCTCCACAGCGGCCCCCGCCAGGAGACGGCGCCTCCCGGGGCCAGGGCGGCCAGGGCGAGGCAGGCGGCGGGGGCCGGCGATTGCGGGGCCAGGCCGACCGCCGATGCCGAGATGAAGCGCCGGGCCAGGGACGCAAAGGAGAAGGACCACGGCGGCAGCAAGAGGCAGACCTCCGGTTCGTCGGCTCGTCCTCTGCGGTCCATCGGCTGGTCCTGCGGTCAGGAGCTTTGGCTTAGTGTGTCGCTCAGCCGGTTCTGGCCCACCACGCTTCGGCGCGACACGCCATCCACGCCGTGGTCCCCGGGCGTCAGAGTCCCGAGTTTGCCCGAGCCTCCCGCCCCGCGGAGCGGAGCACACACTGCCCGCTCGCACGGCATAGCGTGTCGCCGGTGCCGGCGCGGCGACACGCTAAGCAAAAGCTCCTGTCCGAACGCTTCTCGGGCCTAGCTTGTCCCCTGTCGTTGTGCTCGACGTATCCCTCGTCCAGTGGACGCCTTTTTTTTGTTTTCTCTTTTTTTTTTTTTCTTTTTTTTCGTCCAGTGGGACGCCCGGGGGTAGGCCAGGGGTACGCTCGAGGAACGGTACCAGGACCCGCAAGTGTCAGTGGCAAGGGGGCGGAGGAGGAGGAGGAGGAGGAGGAGGAGGAGGGGCAGGAGGAGGGAGGAGAGGAGGAAGGAGGAGTGAGGGGAGGAGGAGGAGGAGGAGGAGGGGGAGGAGGAGGGGGAGGAGGAGGAGGAGGAGGAGGAAGAGGACGACGAAGAGGTGGAGGATGGGGAGACTCAGGAGGATATCCCTAGGCCTCCCGGGTGGGGTCCGCGTACACGAGGTCGGAAGATCGCACCGCATCGCCGATGCATCGGCGATGCGGCTCGATGTGGGGCCCGATTTCGCCACGCCGACGTCTCCGATGCATCGCAGACGTCGCCGACGCATCGCCGAGGCATCGGCGACACATCGGCGATTCGGTGCAATCCCCCGACCCCATAAACTCGGGCAGCATCGGGAAGGCCTCTAGAGATCGAGGAGGCAGGGGGGGATCTCCCGGGCCCCGCCAAGTAGGTGTTGAAGATGCCACGGGAATCAGCAAGGATGAGATGACGAAAAGCATCAGCGGATTACGAGTCCCGGGCCGTTCACATTGAGTCCGCCGCCAGCTTTATTGGGGAGGGCGAGCATGATGGTTGAGGATCCTGCAGTCCTTGGCTGTGGGGACACGCATCCAGAAACAGCTTGTGTATTGCCAGATGGGTATTTGCAGGGGGGGGGCATTGTTATTGAGCGCACCTGGACCCCAGACCCAGAATACATCGATCGAAAGCATCCCAGTGCGACCCTACCTAGGAGTTGGAGCATCTAGGAAAGCAACATCTACATCTACACCGACAGCTACATTAACATTTATATCTACACCCACTGCTATGCTATGCTATGCTATGCTATGTTGCGCTATGCTATGCTATGATATGCTTTGCTATGCTGCGCTATGCTGCGCTATGCTATGCTATGCTATGCTATGCTAGGTACGCTCGGCTGCGCTGTGTCATGCTAGGCTATGCTATGATATGCTATGCTGCGCTATGCTGTGCTATGATATGCAATGCGGCGTTATGCTAGACTATGTTATGCTACGCTATGCTGTGCTATGCTATGATATGCTAGGCTATGTTATGATATGCTATGCTGCGCTATGCTGTGCTGTGCTGTGCTATGTTATGCTAAAGTTCGGCGAAGCTAAGATGAAGGTAAGCTAAGCTAAGACAAACCTGAGCTAAGATGAAGTTAAGGTAAGCTAAGATGAAATAAGCTAAGCTAAGATGAGATAAGCAACGCTAAGCTAAGGGAACGTCACTGGGGGAACCGCGGGGCGGATGCCGGGGGAACCGCCCGGGGCGGGCAACATTGCCAGGCCCTTTAAGCATATAAAGTAAGAACCCTTCTAGGCAGAGCCTAGGTAGGGAATACTTGGGCTTTCGGAATTGGGTTTCCAAGAGACGTCCCCTGCGGCCGAAATTTGAGATCTCTAGGAGTCTCTCGGGGCACTCTGGGAACTGCAGGATGGGTGAAGGCGGCGGTGGAGAGGGGACGGTTAGGGCGGGAGGGGAAAGGGGGGGGGGATGGAGGGGGAGGGGCTCGGAGAGGAGGAGGATCTAACCCCTCGCGGCCCCCCCTCGTCCGGACCCCAGCGGAGGGGAATTCTTGACGCTTCGCGCATCGTGGGGCTTGGCACCCCCTGGATGGACCAGGACCTGGCCGTCCCAACGGAGACCCTGCCGCCCCCCACCCCCGACCCGCGGGCGCAGCTACCGTTCCAGGGCGAATTGGCAGCGCACACCTAAGGACTTGCCCAGACAGGTTCAAAACGCTCGGGGGAGGAAGACCCGTGAGTGCTGCAAGCATCGTCAACACCTTGGCATGGATACCTATTGGCGCACCTCCTTCAGCCAGCCCCTTCGGACCAGCCGTTCAGAGTTGGTATTATAGACGCGGACGGAGATCCCAGGGACTCCCCCAAGGCTTGCGCCCTCCTGATAATCATAATGCCCATGATCAGGGAGCCCAGGGTATTCCTGTGGCCTGTCCCCCACGCAGAAGGCACCGGGGACGTCAATGAAGCGGTACTCGGCATCTGCTTTCCTTGGCAAGACGCCCACCTGGAGTTTCGCCAGAAGTTTGCTGAGACCTGGGGGTTCTCCCTGGACGATCTCAGTGCACTGCACGGCCGCATTGAAGACGCTCTCCTCCACGTATACAGGCTGGTGGCTGTCGCACACCATCACGAGGCAGCAAAGCACGCCGAATGCTCGCAGACCTGGAAGGACCTGGAACAGCATGGTTTCATGCTGGAGGAGCCCATGATGGTCCTGGAGCGGATCGTACCCGTGGTAAATGTCGCAACCCTGGCCAACGCCAAGTGCTCCATCTGTGCGCTCCACTGCGAGCTGGCAGACTTCGACACTGGGTCAGGGGACTCAGACGATGACCTGGCCCTGGCTACATTGAAGGAGGCACCGCTCTGTCGAGGAAGGATCTGGGGGCCCCCAAGCCCGTCTCCCCTGCCCTGACTGCGGCTGGTCCCCCCGTTCGTAGCGGGCGGTCGGCTAGAAGCGGCACAGAAGGACGCAAAGTTCACGTGCGACGGCTGCGGCAGAGGCCGCCTCAAGTCGACAATAGGGACCTGGGAGGACGACGAGACCCGAGAGCTCCTGGCGCAGAACCGCTGGCAGGCGTACCTCTCCGGCAACATTGCAGATGGCTCTGTGGGACATGCTGGGTTTCCAGCGTCGAGACGCGCGGCCTCCCCGCACCCGAGTGTGACACCGTAAGACTACAACGACAGCCTGGCAGGCGGCGGGGAGCAGAAGAGGGTAGTAGCACTCCCCTTGCTTGCTCACCTCCCTCCTCGGGTACGGGGCGCGCCCCTGCGCGGCTGGCCCCGCCCCTCTGAAGGACCTCTTGATAGTCACAGCTAACCAGCACTGCCCTACCCTGGCGAACTCGACCCGGCCGGCGCGCAGACTCAATGACGGGAGATTCGGGAGAGAAACCCACAGGACCCGCTCTTACTCTGCGAAGTGCGACACGTGCCCGCCGGATGCACCCCTCCTCTTGCGGAGGGTCACGGACCCTGCCCTCGACTGCTTCCTGTGGCGCCCCGAGCCAGGGACGGTCACCGTCGATTGATCCGGTCTCCCTCCCTGGGACCAGTGGCTGTCCGCCTGGCAGGAGCGGAAATGGAACGCTGCGTGGTGCCGCAGGAGGTGCCTTGTCTACATTTGGGATGTCGCACCAGGCAACCTTGACCGCATCCTTGACCTCGACTCCCAGAAGGTCTACCCAGTAAACCCTACTAAGAGGCCGCACCAGGGCGTCATTGCGCAAGCCCCCCTGGACGTCGCAGACCAGCTGCGCGCCAAGCGCACCAGTGCCAACGCCAAGGACAGTTTCTCCATAGACCCTGCAGCTCGGGGCTCAAGGGATACCAGAGGAGTATAACTGGGAGCTGTAGCGACAGCGGCTCTCCAAGCAGGTCGGTCTCGGACACTCTCGCCCTCCCGCCCCATCTCACCGCGCCCGGCGCCCCCTTGACCAGCCCAAGGAAAGTCGTGGAGCTACGCCTGGCAGCAGACGACGAGCAGAAGCGCAGTCGGTCCAACCAGGTACGAGACGCGCAGCATACCCTCGTGAACTACACTCGCGATTTCCATCCCGACGTCGAGACGCACTGGCAGAATTTCGTGGAGGACCGATGCGGTGACATCCCCGAGCCGACGGATCAGGACACATCCTGGCCGGCCAAGAACCTAGTGCCTTTCCTGGCTTTGATGCACGACCAAGAGGTGCCAGCAGACGGCCTGCCGCCCCACGTCGACTGGGACGGCGAGCGCTGGGCAGCCGCCAGGGAGGTAAAGCACCTCACCAGCAATCCACTCCATAAGGAGGCCTGGCAGCAACACTACTTCTCTTTGGCGCGGGATAAGGGTCCCAGCCCCTTCCGACACGAGCGCGACCTACTCGCCGGCTTCCTGAGGGGCCTCGACGCAAGCGCCCTCGCCACGGCCACCACCGCCAAACTCGCACTCCAGGACCCGGAGGATACCACTAACAGCGAGATCGCCCTGGAGACTGCAGCCGGCGGGAGCGCGGGGGCCGGGCCCTCCCCCGAGCCAGAGACCAGCGAGTCCCCGCGAGAGCGCCACGCGGGACACCGCGCGTGCCAGGGCGGCCCCCCCAGGCCCCCCCGGCCCAGATGCAGGCTCGGCAGCAGGTCCGGCACCGCCGCGGAGCAGGCGCGAGGGCCATGCGCCCGGCGGCGAGGCTGGCCGAGGCGAAGAGCTGCTTGGCCCCTCCGCCCCGCCAAAGGATGACATCGGCTCTCCCACAGAAAGAGACCAGTCCGTGGTCTTCGACGAGGAGACACCGGCATCCGCATCACCATCCCCGCGCGAGCAGGTAGATGCGGACGAGGGCACCCGGCAGGGAGACAACCCGCCGCCGCCGGCGCACGTCGACGCCCGCGAGGGGAAAAGGGAGGTGGCCCCAGAGGCAAACCCTAGTTCGTCAGACGACCCCCATTGGAGCCTTTGGGGGGCAGACGCCCTCAGCTGCGGACGCTCGCGCGCCCGCCAGCCCCAGGAGAGGCGCCG